CTCCTCCTCCTCCTCCTCCTTCTCCTCATCCTACTCTTCCTTCTCCTCATCTTCCTGCTCCTCCTCCTCCTCCTCCTCTTCCTCCTCGTTCTTCTGCTCCTGCTCCTGTTCATGTTCCTGCTCCTGCTCTTCCTCCTCCTCTTCCTCCTCCTCCTATGTTTCCTTCTCCTCGTCCTCCATTTCCTCCTTGTCCTCCTCCTCCTCCTCCTCGTCCTCCTCCTGCTCATCCCCCTCTCCCCTCCGTCCTCGTTCCTCCCTTCTCTTCCCTCCTCCCTCGTCCCTCGTTGTGGCACGGTGGCACGCGGCAACGCCTGCGGGGCGAAAAATGGCACTTTCCAGCTTTACTCGGCATGTGGCACACGCCCGGGGGCGAACAAGTGTGCTACTCCAGTCGCCTCGCGACGTGGCAACGCTCGCGGGACGGACAAACATAGTATTTCATGCGACTTGCCAGATGACACACACACACACACGACTTCTCTCCACAACTCGCCACGTGGCATTGTCTGCGAGGCAGAACACATGTTTGTTTACTCGACTCGCCACGTGGCAACACTGGGAGAGCGAAACACATACCACTCCACCGCACCCACCACTACGCCACTGCACCCACCAAAGAATTACTCCACACTGCTCGGCACGTGCCAGCGAAGCACAAATCTACTCGGTCCTTGGCTCCAATGCGGACGGCGACCACGACGACGACGACGACGACGAGTAACGACGACGACGATGACGACGACGTCAACAACGACGACGACGTGGACAACGACGACGACGGACGACGATGACGACGATGAGCGACGATGACGACGACAATGACGACGAGGACCACCACCAACACGACGGCGACAACTCAACGACGACAATGACAATGACAATGACAATGACAATGACAACGACGAAGACGACGATGACGGCGACGACGACGACGATGCCGCCGCCACCGCCGCCCACCCGCCCGCCCGCCCGCCCGCGCGCCCGCCCGCCCGCCCTTTCGCGCGCGCACGTCCGCGCGCGCGCCACGTGGCAACGCGAGCGCGCCCACTCGCCTGCCCGCCCCGCCCGCGCGCCCGCCCGCCAGCCCGCCCACGCGCCCGCCCGACCGCGCGTGCTCGCCCGAGGGCAGCCGTGTGTCAACATGAAGCACTCGCTTGAGAATCCATCACGCTCCAAGATTTGAGCGGAAAATATGCGCAGCAGCTGCAAGGATGGAGGCGCATCGCGCAACTCAGCCGAGCCCCGCCGACGCGGTGTGCCAGCGAAACACCCGCCCGCCGATGCGGCGCCAAGACCATCGACCACCCCGCTGCAAGAGATGATAATCGCCCGCCGCATCGGCTCCAATTAAAGTCGCCCAGTGGTCAAACACTCGTGCACGCCAGGGGGGGAGATGAGAAGGGGCGGGACTTCTCAGAAGGCTCCGAAGTCCCCCGGTGGCCTTGTGAGAAATGTCCTGCAGGAGTCTTTCCCGAAGACGCGGAAAACTCCTCAGAGACTGGAGGGCTTCTGACAAGTTCCGCCGCCTTCTGATGAGGCAGTCTTCATCTCACTTCCCCCCCTCGCTCGCCTCCGAACTTGGGCTCGCATGACATAAGGAGCCGAACTCTATACACCGACGCCTTTTCCGGCGCCGCACCAAAACTCGCAAAAAAAAGTGCGAATCCTTGTGTCTACGGCATCCTGGTGTATACATGTCTCGCTGCTCCCCGAGGAAGGCGGGGAAACGAGTAATTACACACCGCACCACGCCGACGTCGCCCCCGACCCTCAAAAAATCCGGGGAGTGGGATTCAGCCGGCTGCTGGCACTGTATGTGCACCGGTCTTCGAAACGCGCGCTCGCATGACAGCTGCTCTTCCGAGCACGGCCGCCCTGGCAGAGGAGGAGGAGGAGGAGGAGGAGGAGGAGTAGGAGGAGGCGGAGGCGGAGGAGGAGGAGGAGGAGGAGGAGGAGGCGGCGGCGGAGGCGGAGGCGGAGGCGGAGCAGGAGGAGGAGGAGGAGGAGAAGGAGGAGGGCGCGCGCAAGCGCGCGGCTGGGGCGTGCGCGCCCGTCGCCGGCGAAGTGGCGCTTGGCGGCGAGGGCCACGTCGTCGCGGCCGTGGGGGAACCGGCGCGGCTGCAGCACGACGCCCTCCTCGCGCCGCGTATGGGGGCCTCCTAGATGGGGTCCGAGCAGATTCAAGGGGCCCAGGGACACACAAATGAATACGCACAAATGAAATGACTCCCCATATTTTCCGATGTTTTCTGGGTTTTGTCTTCCCGCCCAATTCCAATATTTTCGTATATTTTCTCCGGGATCGACCTTTCCTAAATAAGGAACGAGGCCCCTTTTCTCCATAAGTTGCACTTCGATTTTCCCATCGGAAACCTAAGGAAACCTGAGGCAAGCTGCGAAACACTTAGGGAACACGGAGCCCCTCCCCAACGAAAAGGGTTCCTTCTTCAGCGCCCCGGCTGTAGGGGCCTCCTAGATGGGGTCCGAGCAGATGGGGTCGGAGGATCCCGCCGTATCGCCGATGCTTCGGCGATGCATCGGCGACGCAGCGGCGATGCACCGGCGATGCACCGGCGATGCATCGTCGACGTGGGTGATGCATTGGCGACGTCGACGTGGAGGAAATCGGGCTCCACATCGAGCCGCATCGGCGATGCATCAGCGGTGCGGCGCGATCCTCCGACCCCATCTACTCCGACCCCATGTAGCAGGCCTACAGCATAGGCAGGAGTGGGACCAAGGCGGGGCGAAGGGCGATGTTTGTGAACGGTGATTTTGGGAACCACATGGCAGGACATCGCGAACCACACTTTCCTGCACTTCAAGTCCTGCGAACGGATCGAGCGAACACGACACAGCGAATTGCAGGAAAGCGCGAGCCACACGTCCCAACAATGCCGAAACCTACATCGCTGTTACCTGCATCGCCGTTAGCCCGTCTACGGTGGGAAGACCCTGAGATCCTGACATCGCCCACAGTTAAGGTACTACCAGAAGGAAAGATATATAAGGAACTAGAGGCCATCTCGATGGGGTCCGAGTAGATGGGGTCCGAAGATCGCGCCGTATCACCGATGCATCGGATCGGCGACGTCAACGATGCATCAGCGCCGTCGGCGACGAGAAAGCCTGGCTCCACATCGAGTCCAATCGGCGATGCATCAGCGAAGCGGCGCGATCCTCTGGCCCATCTACTCGGACCCCATCCGTGAGGCCCCGAGGAACGGAGCCCCTTTTCGGCGCCAGTAGCGCCTGGGTGCACGAGGAGTGCCACAGAGGAACAACCACGGGATGACCCAAGGACCCAAAGATCAGCGAGCCCCTTCCGAACCCGAAGCGGTCCGTATGTCTACGTCTCGGCTGCCCTTTCTTTCACAACGGGCCGTTCTGCCTTGCTTCGGGCCCTGGGACCACCACGGATGGATCCGGCTCGAGAAATGCCGCAGGACGATGACCAATCGAAGTTGTGCTGCGATCTTGCACGTCTTCCGCTACGTCGGACTACAAGGCAGACGGAGGTGCCGAGGCCAGTGCGCGTCCCTCGTCGCCGAGGCCGGGTTCGCCCTCGAGAGCCTGGTCAGAACGCACCTGGTCCGAGGCGGGGACTGATCCGCAACCCCCGCTTGGGGGGTCGATCTTCGCGGACCTCCACAGGCGGTGGGTACGGATACGTTCGGGCCACTGGGGGGCAAACGATATCCATGTCTACCGCCCGCTGGGCCACCAGGTCCTGACCCAAGATAGAACTTCCACGACCGTCTCAAACACTCACTTCTTGTGGGTGTCGGCGGAATGGCGTAAGCCACTTGGATGTATCCATATATACCGTCCGCTGGAGCACCAAAACGTCGGTTCCCAGGCGGTGGATGTTTGTTTTTTGTTCTCCAAGTGCGACCGTCCAATGTACTGCGCTGGCGATGAGTCCCCGGATGCAGTACACTACTCCGAACTTGCTCTGGAGATGCTGACCGTTGGTGTATAGAAATACTCACGCAATGATGCCGGAAGCCGGGAGCAGGGGCAATCACGATGGAAAGCATGGGGAGCGTGATAGGTGAAGTATCAAGCTCTTTGCCACCGGCTGTACAGCACACTTGACAGAAGACTCAAGGCACATAGCCCGAGCAAGCGCACGCCAAAGGCAGCACAATATGACTCCGAGATAGGCACAGGACCGCCCAAGCGGTGGAGGAAAAGGAGGAGGAGGAGGAGGAGGAGGAAGAGGGCTAAATGCACCAGGGGAGGGGTCCGAGGAGCAGCGGCGGCGGCGCGCTTTGCTGCCTCGGTCGTCGCCTGCCCCCCCCCCCACCCCCACCCCCCTTCTGCGCGCGCGCGGGGGCAGCGCGCCATGGGCAGGAGTGGGAGGACGACAGATGCAGCGCCGAAACCTCCAGCGCCGTGACGTCGTCCAGTCCTGGCGGTGCTCCCCGAGTGTCGGGCCTCCGGGGGCCAGCGTCGGGGCCCAGAAGCAGCCAGCATGGACCCGGGACACACAACGGCCACCGGACCTGGGACCCTCTGGTGATCTGGGGCCTGCGGGCTGAAATAAAAAAACACACTGCGCCAGATATGGACACACCAGCACTGGCTTCGGCCAGGTCAAGCCAGGCTGGCATGCTCACTGACTACAAGGTCAGCGTGGGCCCGGCCTCGGTGACAACGCATGATTGACGATGATTATCGCGTCGTTCCTCCTCCTCCTCCTCCTCCTCCTCCTCCTCCTCCTCATCATCATCATCATCATCATCATCATCATCATCATCATTTTCCTCCCCATCCTCCCTCCCCCTCGCCCCTCCCCCTCCCCTCCCCCTCCCCCTCCCCCTCCTCCTCCTCCCCCTCCTCCTCCTCCTTCCCCTCCTCCTCCTCCTCCCCTCCTCGTCCTCTCCTCCTCCTCCTCCTCCTCCTCCTCCTCCCCCTCCCCCCCCTCCCCTTCCCCCCTCTCCCCCCCCCCCCTCCCCCCTCCCCCCCCCTCCCCCTCCCCCTCCCCCTCCCCCCCTCCCCCTCCTCCCCCTCCTCCTCGAGCGCGGCAGGGGGGCGCACCGAGTCCTCCGCTAGCTCAGCTACCACACGCAGACCTCCTGGCCTGGAAGCGCGCCGCCCTGATCTGTGAGGCGGCTTCAGCGGCTGAGATGATTGGATGGGTGGGAGAGGCAAGAACACGCAGAGCATTATACAAGTGATACGCGTAAACAGGAATGACAAACGAATTGCGGGAGGGGCCAGCACGCCAAAACGAGCCACAGGGTTCGGGTCGAGAGCGACTTCGGCAACCTCGGACAAGAGTTCCAGGAACCTCGGGCACGACCAGAAATGCCAAAATCTGTCAGAACACTGCAAGCACCCCAGGAAGCAAGGGGTGCGTTTCTGAAACCTACTGTTTGTAGTCCAAGCAGCTCCGAGAGTTTTCAAAACAGCAAATCGCCACGAGGGAGGAAGAGAGCGGATCACTTCACGGCAACGACCCCAGTCAATGCCATCGACGTCCGCGAGGTATTGAGAGCACCCTTTTCTTAGACGAGCAATGAACGTTGTCGATAGTTTATCAGGAAACATACGTGATCTAAGATGTTGAGCTAGAACACGTTGAGGATGGAGAGCTTTTCTGGGGAGAAGAGGATTGTCTCTAAGATGAACCCGAAGATGAGCAAGAGCAAATCGGGCAGCGTTTTGAATATGAGGCCTGTTCGGGAAGCCTGCAGCAGCATCCTGAAGATTTTGGGCAAGGGGTCGGGTCTTCCAGAATCGAGGACAAAAGCGAAAACCTCCAGCGCCGTCGCCATAGCCAGCCTGGGTCGAAGCAACGGTCATCTCGCGCCACGCGGCCTCTTCGAGGGCCGTCATACCAACACGCCAGTCGGGGATGGTGAACAGACTCATACGTATGAGCGAGGCGACATTATTGACCAACAAACTGTTGGTCTGCGGGCCACCCCACGCCTGCAGGTTGTGCCAGTCCGAATTCGGCCAACACCTGAACGGCGTCTTGAATAGGCGGGCCAGCTGCTGGCATTCCATAGCACAGAGATGTTTGGGCATGAGGAGGAACTGGGAGACGTAGGATAAGACAGAGAAGGCACGCCGACGGTAAAGAAGAGCCGACACTTCAGCAGCTGAGCCGCTCCCAGCGATCAACGCACATCTCGTCTTATAGTTAGTTACAGGTGCGATCCACGAGTCATCTTCAACGTCCGGTCCCAGGAACATCCCAAGATACTTGAGCTTACCAGAAATGCCAATCCCGCTCCAGGAGCCCAGGAAGTTCCAAACCCAGCGGCGATACTTTCTGATACATCTCGGGGTGGCTGAGTCGATCAACGGCACGATCTGGCATTTGGGGATCTTTAGCTTGAGATGTGCGATGTGCTGGGCCTGCGCGAAGGCCGAGGCGACCTCGGACAGAACAGAAATGCACGAGAGCGCCATGCCGATATCGTCGGCGCGCGCCCTGGTGTGGCCGCGGCCCGCGCCGTCCACCACTCTGCGGAACTCGATCAAAAACGGATCCAGCGATATGCTGAAGAGCAAACCTGATGCTGGACATCCTTGATGACACCTGCGGTTATGAAGTACATGAACTGTGTTATGCCCCCTATATTGCCCATGCGCATGACATTACTATATATATATGACGTCGTAAAACCATCGCAGAGGTGGCGGCAGATTCAGCACGTCTAACACGAGCGCCAGCCAGCGCTGGCACAAGCTCGGGAATGCTTGGCCAAAGTCGAACCCAACCAAAAGCGGGAGCGACGCTTGAGGGCCCATGGAGTACACCCGAGAGAACGCGTCCAGGTCCACGATGCTCGAACAGAAATTTCGGCCAGAGACAAAACCCCTCTGGATCGAGTCGAGCCCAGCAGGCACGCGACGAGAGAGCTCGAAACAGCAGACTCCAATCATAATTTTGCAATCGGTGTTCTTGAGGCCCAGAGGCCTGGTGTCCCCGACGTCCCTGAAGACCCCCTCGGCGTCGTTAGCCTCCGTGCCCTTGGGGATGAACACCCCCAAAAGCCCGTTAAAGTTCCAGCTCAAGGTGAAGCCCTGCAAGATCCACTGCAGGCTGTCAAAAAGGGTATCCGCTCCACGCGGACCTCTCTGCCAGGCAGCATATCTGAGACGATCGGGTCCTGGGCCCGAGTCCTGTTGGCGCCTCGAGAAGTCCTGCAAAAACTTGAACGCGGGGGGCGGAAGGTCACTACACGTCACCCGGGGGACATGAGTCCTGACAAAGTCCCGAGCCCTGGAGTCGTCGAAGTCTTTTATCGTGAACACCGGCTTCCAGTAGTCCGTGAGACCTTGGAGGACCTGGCTCGGCTCCTGCATGGTTTGGCCCTGGACCCCGCTGCCCGAGAGACTCACCCGCTTGTCAAGCGGTGACCACAGCTGAGCGGCTGTATTCATTTTCTGAGCCCGTCCTCGCAAACGATTCTGACGAAATTCGTTGTCCGTCGCATCGATACTAGCCTGGATCTGACGGCGCCTCTGCTCAGCAAGCTCGGCGTGCAACTGATCCGAGAGGCGGGTGAAAGCGTCTGGCTCCACCAAAAGCACACAGCCAGCGACCATGTCTAACAGGGGGTGCTCCCGAGCAAGCTGGTGTGTTAGCATTAACCGTTCAGCTAGATGTATATCTTGACGAAATACAGCGCGCGCACAGCTACGCATGACAAAGTACCGTGCTTGAAGACTCTGTGGCTTGTGCAGTATAATAGCATTGCGTGCATGACGTGCCGCCTCTATCATGAGCATCTGATAGTACTCGTGCTGTAACGGTGTGCTCAAGTGGTCATAGTCGGCAGCCTCCACTGCCATCTGCAACTCTTTAGTCACATAGATCTCCTTTGGGATAGGCCTCGAGGATTCTAGGGTCGGGGGTCTCTGGACAAGAGTAGCACAGACCGCAGCGTGATCCGAAATCTGTGTTGCTTGCAGTTGTCCTGGAATGCCGATGACCTCACCACTAGTAGCCTGCTGCGAGATAACCCGTCCAGGAGACGAGCAAAAGAGCCGATCTATGAACGAGAGGTGCTTCTCCCCTGCATGAAAGTGCGACGGTGCGTCCAGCTCAAATTCAGTGAGTTGCCGAACCACATCTCGCCAACCAGGAGGTTGAGGCAAAGGGGGAAGAGGCGCAGCAATCTCTTCGTCCGTCGGGGTGAGCGGGATCGGAGCCTGCAGCCCAAAGTTAAAACCGCCTGCCACAATCACAAGCTTGCTATGCGGTTCATCTTTCGAGTCGAGGATAGAGGAGAGGATGTGCTGGGTAACATATTGACGTTGAGCTACGCTGATACCATGATTATGAACGTTATAATGAGCTATCCACGCTGAACCATCAACTGCAGAGAACTTTGTGTACAATACTCGACCAGGAACCAGGGCCTCTGGAGGGGGGACTACAGGGCGCTCGCCACCGAAAAGCCTAGCTCTCTCGTTGCTTGGGCTGAATTTGGGGAAAAATGATAACACCGCCAGAGTTGTGCTCAGCTGGGAGGAGAAAAGAGGTGAACCCGAAGTCGAAGTTCGAGGGGTGGGGGAAATCATTAATTTCAGCAATCGTGCCGTGAGCTTCCTGCACGGCGATGATTGACCCAGGGCGGAGGAGGCGACGAAGATATTTAAAGTTAGCGCATCTGACAGCTGGCTGGAAGTGCATCAGTGCGTGCGCACTCCACGTTCCGATGCGGAGCGGAACATGGGCCTTGCGGGCGCCACCCCACAAGGCGTGAAACCTGCTAAAGAGACCACGCTGAGTGGCCGTCACCCTCAAGCGCACTGTTGAGCCCGTCCTCCAGCTGCCCGCGCGCCATCCCCTCGAGCTGAAGATTGTCCTCGGCCCAGCGGATCTGTGGGACATCACTGTCGGGCATCGGCGTGAGCTGCACCAGCTGCCGCCAATTACATGAGACCGTACCTCGCAATTTGTCGAGGAAGAACTTCTTCTGGGGGTGCATCTGCGTGAGGTAGCGCTTCGCCACTTTGAGCGCCAGCTCACGTCGTACTTGACAAGGGTTCTTGTCTGGGCCCACGAATAGTTCAGACCGCTCACCTGATACCGCCACGGTATGGAAGCGGAGCCACTCTTGTCCAGGAGCCTGCGGTCGGAGAAGAGCCAGTGCCTGTTGGACACGACGCCCTGCGAAAGCCTTCGAGCCTTTGCACTGGAGCGTGAACCTCTTGTCCGTCGGATCTCCCGCGAGCTCCACTTCGCCCTGCTCCATGTTGAGCTTCTGCAGCCACGGCTGCAGCGCCTCTTGCACCGCCGTCTTGGCGCACTGGTACTTGCATCGCACGATGATGATCGAGATGTCGACCTCCCTGTTGAAGTTGGACTCGAGCGAGATCGGGATGAACGTCGTGATGGGCTTCGGCTCGGTCTTGACGATCCCAAGCTCCGCCCGCAACTTCTTGACATCCTCCTGCAGGGGCTTGATCTCCGTCGCATGCGTTTGTTGAACATTCTCGGTGCGGGAGAGTCGCTCTTCCACTTGTCGTCGCACATCACCACAAGTTTTGACGACCTTCGACAAGAGACTCTATCTGGATCTGGAGGTCCGATGGCTGTGATTCATCTTCATCTGTGCTTCCTTCTGTTGCTGGACGCTTCCGAGGATCCTGACCTGGCGATCCAGAAGCTCCCGTTCCAGCAGCGACGAAGAGAGACATGGCTGAGCACTGCAGAGTGTGGCGGCCCCCACCGCCGCAAGAAAGAGTGCGACCCCAGGAGACAGCCGACGGCGGATGTGTGCCGTCGGGGCGAACGCGCAGAAAAGCCAGGCTGGGCCCGCGGGTCCGAGCCCGTGGGAACGGATCAGCCAAAGCTAATCGCTGGTTCTCGGGCGTTTATAGCCTTTCACAACGTTTAGCCTTGAGCCAAAATGGCTACGGACCTCCTCCCCCTCCTCCTCCTCCTCCTCCTCCTCCTCCTCCTCCTCCTCCTCCTTCTCCTCCTCCTCCTCCGCCTCCGCCTCCTCCGCCTCCTCCTCCTCCTCCTCCTCCTCCTCCTCCTCCTCCTCCTCCTCCTCCCCTCCTCCTCCTCCTCATTTTCCTCCCCCTCCTCCCCCTCCCTCCCTCCCTCCCTCCCTCCCTCCCTCCGTTCTCCTCCTCCTCCTCCTCCTTTCTCTCCTCTTCCCGCTGTCACCTCCTGTTCCTCCCTCCAACCAGTTTGTGCCGCGCCGATGTGGTACCCCGCTCCTATGCACATGCACCGATTCTGGCCAGACCCATCCTGAGCCCATGATCGGTGCATACGCCCTCCTGCCTTGGCCAGGAAGGCATATGCACCGATCCTGGGTCAAGGATCCTCCTCCTCCTCTTCTCCTTGCTGTCACCTCCTGTTCCTCATCCTCCAACCAGTTTGTGCCGCGCCGATGTGGTACCCCGCGCACGCCGGATACATTAGAGGAAAGAGAACTATGCACATGCACCGATTCTGGCCAGACCCATCCTGAGCCCATGATCGGTGCATACGCCCTCCTGCCTTGGCCAGGAAGGCATATGCACCGATCCTGGGTCAAGGATGGGCCTTGCCAGGATCGGTGCATGTGCATAGTTCTCTTCGCCCGATACATGAGCGAGTCGACGCAAGGCACCAGGGGAATGGGAGGAGCGGGAGGAGAAGGCCCGTGGGGCCGTCGGCCCGGCCGATGGCCTGATGCCCGTGCTGGGCCAGCGGCTGGAGAACGGGTAGCCCGCTTCGTCCTTGCTCCTCACCCCGCCTCCCTTCGCACTTGCCGTTAGCTCCTCGGGATCCGCCCGCCCCCCCGCCCCTCATGCATGGGTACAGTCGGGCCGCTGAAAGAAGGAACGTTACATAAGGAACGAAGCCCCTTCTTGGCCCTGTAAGCGCCTCCGTGCCCCAGGAGGGCAGGAGGAACAGCACTGGAGGAACCTGAGGAACATCGAGCCCCCTCCGAACCCAAAACTGCTCCTTATTACAGCGTCTTGACTGCAAGCAAGGAAGGAGGAGGGAGGAGCCCCTGTGTCAGTCCAGGCAGGCCCTCGCGAGCGCCTCGCCCTCGCTCTCGAGACCAGCCTGAGCCTGCGGCTCGCCGTCGCCCTCGCCCGCCAGGGCCGCGAGGACGGAGCCCGCGAGGCGGGGCCCGCGCCCCACCCAGGCCGGCGGCCCGCAGACACCGAGGCCCAGGCACAGCTCCTGCGCTGGCGGCGCGCACACGGCAGGAGCCGTTCCTCCTCCGCCTCCGCCTCCGCCTGCTCCTCCTCCTCCGCCTCCTCCTCCGCCTCCTCCTCCGCCTCCTCCTCCTCCGCCTCCTCCTCCTCCGCCTCCGCCTCCTCCTCCTCCTCCTCCTCCTCCTCCTCCTCCTCCGACTCCTCCTCCGCCTCCTCCTCCTTTTCGACGCTGCGCGGGCCTGGATCGGACGCTCGTGGCGTCCGAACTCCTCCTCCTTCTCCTCCTACCTCCCTCCTTCTACCTCCTACCCCCTACCTCCTACCTGCTACCTCCTTCCTCCTACCTCCTACCTCCTACCTCCTACCTCCTCCTCCTCTTCCTCCTCCTCCTCCTCCTCTTCCTCCTCCTCCTCCTCCTCCTTCATTCCTTCTCTTTTCCCTTGTGAACAGCTCATCCTTGTCGCACCCCGACAGGGGGGGTGGTGGTATTCTGACAGAAGGCTGGGGGGGGGCTTCGAGGAAGGCAGGGGTAGATTCTTGGGAGGACCCCCACTGGCTTTCTGAGAAGGCCTCTTTTCTGAGCTCCAGTGGAGGGGCAAAAACAACAGATACATAAACTGTTGGAGGTCCGCCCTGATTTCTAGGGTCTGCGCTGCCCCCCCCTCCTGGCGCGCGCGGGGAGCGCGCCAGGGGCGGTGCCAGAGGCGCCGCCAGAGGGGCCCAGCGCGGATCCAAGAAATCTGCGCGGAGCGCCAAAAGTTTATGTCCACGCCAAGTTTTCTTCTACGATCTAGAGGGCTTCTAGGAGGCCACCTGCTTTCGCGTCAGAAGGGCCCCCCCGCCTTCCTGGGAGGCAGCCCACCCCGCGCCACCAATGTGTGCGCGCCCCCCCAGTCCTCGCAGAAGTCGGCGCAGTTGCGGCTGAAGGAGTCGAAGCCGGAAGCCACCCACTCCTTCGAGAGCCTCCAGAGGAAAGAGCAAGCGTCACGAGCAGACGGTCGACCCGTATAGTGAGGATGCGCGATGAGGCTGCAAGGGCCTCGAAAGCCCAGTTCCAAGCTTCACGAGCGGGGCGGGGTCAACGAAAGTGGCTGGCCAAGGATGGACCGAGGAGGTAAGGATGCAAGGGCACCCTTGGAAAGGTTGCCCATCCTTCCTATGCAGGCTGGCTGTAAGCTTTCCGAGGTCCGCGCGGACGTATTGGATCGGCGCTGGACCCCCAGGCGGCGTCTCTGGCGCTGCCCCTGGCGCGCCTCGCGCGACGTGGCGGGGCATGCAGCGCCGATCCAAGGAATCCGCGCGGAGCTCCGACAACTTGTGGCCATGCCGTTCCTGATGGGCAAATGATCCACTACCACTACCATATGTAGGACAGGGGAGAAGATGGGATGAGGAGGTCCTCCTCCTCCTCCTCCTCCTCCTCCTCCTCCTCCTCCTCCTCCTCCTCCTCCCTCTCCTACCTATGGTAGTGGTGGTGGAACATGGGCCCATCAGTTCCTTCTCCTTCGGCAACCTCTGCACCAGCGCGTCCACTTCGCTCTCGCTGAGCGGCGTCGCGCCCTGCGCGAGGGCGAACCAGTGGCTGTGGTCGGCGTGCCCCCCGGGCTCCGTGCAGAAGACGCCGGAGCCGCTCCCGTCCTTGAAGCCAAACGCCCACTCGCGCCCGTGCACCTCTTGGGAGGCAACTCCCTGGAAGTCTTCGTGGGAAAGGCGGAAAGCAGTTACATAAAGTTCGAGTAGGGGACCACGAGGCCTGACTCATGCCGCCCGATTCAGTCCAGGAATCAACCAAACCAAGTAGGACTAAGTCGGACTAAGCGGGATTATGCCAGAGAAAGACCGTCAGCTAGAAAGCCCGAGTAGGAGGCCATTGGGCCGGATGACGCCAGATTCAGCTCAGGAGTAAGCTGGACTAAGGTGGGATCAGGCCGGATGAAGCGGGACGGAGTCAGACGGTTGACCACAGAGATAACAGCGCCGACGCTGAGTTTCACCTGCCAGGAGTTGTAGCCGAGCACCTCGACGCCGGTGTGGAAGGCGCCGCCCACCCCGAACTGGAGCAGGGCACCGTTCAGCGCGCGCACGCCAGCCGACTGCCCAAAGTGGTAGACGTGCAGCACGACCTCGCCCGAGCCCCGCTCGCCCCCCTTCGAGGCGTGCCTTGGAACGCCCGACATGGGTACGGGAAATATCAGGCTACGATGCCCAACAGCAAATGATGTCCCAAACCGACAACGGCCGCGGTTGCGCAGGCGGCCCTGCGCATCAACCGGGCAGCGTCTGTGGCGACGCCGACAGCGAGCCCTGCCCAAAGCGGGCAAGAACTGTCGTCCAGGCCTCCCGGTTTGGCACCGAGCAGATGTGGAGCCCGATTCTCCCCACCCCAACGGCGCCGATGCATCGCCGGCGCCGCTCATGCATCACCGATGCATCGACTGTCTGCATCGGTGCTGCGGCGCGGTCCTGCGCCCCCATCTACTCGGACCCCATCTGTCGGCGGTGGACAAGCCTCCCTTCAGTAAACCTCCCCTTAGTGAAAACGACCTAGGGCCGAAATCGACGGACCTGGACCCGCAAAAAGGACGGCCGCAACGCCCCCTCGCGAACCGAAAACTGCCAATTCCTTAGCCGACGCGTCAGGTTAGGAGGTCTGTCCACCCCCGAATCTGAGAGGCCTCCGTTGCTTCCGCATGCCCACTTCGAGCGCGCCGAGTGCCGCTGGGCCCCGCCGAGCCCCGCGCGTCGGCGCAGGAGGCTGATGGGCCCTGTTTTCCACCACCACCACCACCACCTCAAGTTGGAGGGGACCTCCTCCTCCTCCTCCTCCTCCTCCTCCTCCTCCTCCTCCTCCTCCTCCTGCACCACATCCTGCAAGGGCTGGCCACCTCCTCCTCCTCCTCCTCCTCCTCCTCCTCCTCCTCCGCCTCCTCCTCCTCCTCCTCCTCCTCCTTCCCGTCCTGCACCTCCCACTCCTGGTGGCGGCGGTGGAAAAGAGCAGGCCCACCAGGAGGCGGCTCGCGGCGCCCAGCGCGAGCGCGCAGGCCAGCAGGGCCGGTAGGTGCCGCCGGCCGGCGAGGGCGCAGCCCAGGGCCCCGCACAGCACCGCGAGGCCCACGGCCGGGAGCTCGCGCGCCGAGGGCCTGGGGCGCTCCTGGGGGAGCCAGGAGGGCTATGATTAAGTCGACGAAAAATACGAAATACCCAGAAAGTTCACACAAAAAACTCAAAAAAAGTCAGGGGACTGTGTTTTGAGCATTTCTTTGCGCTGTTGGGACATGTGTGGGGTATTTAATTTTTCGACGAAAATCCCCCTGTAGGGGGACACGCCCGACTTAAGGCTATGATGTTCCAACTTTCAAGCAGTGGCGACGCGTCCTGGCTCGCCTACAGCCCTACCAAGCAATGTTCTAAGAACCTATTTGTGGTGTCCACGAACTGTTCTTAGAACATGTCTGGCTGGGGCTGTATTGTTTTAAGACATAAGGCTTAACATTGTTTTTGTTATTCGGACATTTTTTGGTTCCAAGAACACTTCGTGATAGGACTACAGAAATGCCGGGGCGATCGGTCCCTGCTCAAACCCTACTTGAGTCTTGATCACCAGGAGGAAACGTCGAGCACCAGGAAAACCGCCCCCCCCCCCCCCCCAAAAAAAACGATGGTCTTCGCGTGCCGGGCCGGAACCCCAAAAGTGGGGGAACCGGGAGGGTGGAGGCTGGGAAATGCACACCGACACTACTAGGGTTAGGCACGCCACTAAACTCGCCACCCCGCGCTGACACCGAGGCCCCAGCGCGACATGGCGAGCCCGTGGTTTATCCATCAGTCTCTTCCACCGCCGCCCGCTGGCCCATTTCCCAGCGGGGGCCCACTCCCAGAACAAACATAAAAACTGGGAGGTCCGCGCGGATTTCTTGGATCGACGGTGGGGCCCCCCGGCGGCGCCTCCGGCGCCGCCCCTGGCGCGCTCCGCGCGCCAGGGAGGGGGGTCCAGCGCCGATCCGAGAAATCCGTGCCGAGGGCGAGTCGCGCTCCTGGGTGAGCCAGGAGGGTTATGAGGTTCCAACCTGCTCTTCACCCTTGATCACCAGAAAGAATGTCGAGCACCAGAGAAGGACCCCAGGAACTCGGGGGGGTTCGCGTGTCGGGCCCTGCGAGGCACAGTTTCGACACTGCTTCGGCACTCTTTCGACACTTTCCAGGTGCTCGAAATCATGTCTGGGATGTAGTCCTCAAGTACGATGGGAGCAACATAACAGAAGGGTGGAGGCTTGGAAAGGGGCACCGATACTACCGAAACAGGGGGCGGCGTTCACCGGGGAAGGATGATCCCAGATCCTGGTGCTGATGGGGATCTTTCGGCCACCTTAGGAAGCCCAAACAGTACCACCATCACCGGGATCAGGATCATCTTCTCTCGGTCGCGGCAGACCGCTGGTATTGGTGATGGTGTCAACCTCTAGGCCTCCGAGAGGGGCGTGGCTCGAAACGGATGTGGCTTGAAACCTGCGCCTGGGGGGGGCGGGCGAGGACCTTGCCAAAGATCTCTGCCGCGCCCCGAGGAGGGCTCGTGAAAGAGCGGGAGGAGGAGGAGGAGGAGGAGGAGGAGGAAGAGGAGGAGGAGGAGGAAGAGGAGGACGAGCAGGAGGAGGCGGAGGTGGAGGAGGAGGAGGAGGCGGAGGAGGAGGAGGAGAGGGAGGAGAGGAAGAGGAGGAGGAGGAGGAGGAGGAGGAGGAGGAGGTGGCAACCTTACAAGCCCCAACGGTGCCGATCGCAAACACGCCCCGGCGTAGCCACGCCGGCTGCGGCCGCCGAGCAGCGCCGCTGCCGCTCTGCTCCTCGGACCTCTCCCGGGCCGCGCTCCGACGAGAGCGCTTCGAGGAGCATATCCGGCCGCGGCGGCGAGGGCCTCCCCCGAGGCCCACATGATGAGCGTGTTTTCCACCACCACCACCATAAGTTGGAGGGGGGGGTCCTCCTCCCTCCTCCTCCTCCTCCTCCTCCTCCTCCTCCTCCTCCTCCTCCTCCTCACCACAGAGGCGAAAGCGAGGGCAGGGACAGCAGCATCCGTGCCTATTTTGGGGCGCCCGAGTTATGCGGGGTAACTCGGGTCCGGGGTAACTCGGGTTCGGATTCCCGACAAAGGAACCCGAGTTAGCCCTGACCCGAGCTATACCCCTGATGACTCGGGGCTCTGACTTTTCCTCCTCCCCGGCCTCCGGCTCCGCGGGGCCCGGCGCCGTGGAGGCCGCCGCCGCCTGGCGCCCCAGGAGGCCCTGCTTGGCCAGGCACCGGCACAGCGGGCGCGCCTGCGCGGCCCAGCGGCCGGCGCAGGCGCCCATGCGCCTCTCCCGGCGGCCGCGAGGGGGGGGCGGCGGGCAGCGCGGCGGCGGCAGCGGCAGGGTGCCGGAGCAGCCGCGGCGCGAGAGGCGGGCCGGGCGGAAGGGGGGGATGGCAACCCGGACCTTCCAGAGAGCTATTTGTTTAGCACGAGAGGCCTAAAAACAACAAACGAAAAAAAAAAAAAAAAAAAAAAAAAACGGCACGAAACGGCCTCAAACCAAGACACGGAATAGAGCTATGGGAAAGGTTTTTCAGTCGCGTGCTATTTCTTAGCCCTCCTGGAAGGTCAGGGAAAGGGGGGGGTGAGAATCAGCTCACGTAGCTGATTTTCCCGGCGCCTCCCGGCGCCGGAGGCGGCCATGTATCCATGAATGGGCCCCTCGGTGGAGCCGAAACCAGCCGCATGCAGCAAATTTCGTACCCCCCCTTTCCCAATCCCCCCCTTTCGTCCGGCCCGAGAAAGGGGCGCGGGTGCTGCAACAGCCTGGGCCAGAATGGCTACGGAGGAAAAGGCTTGGGATTAACTACCCTGCACCCCAGGTTGACCTCCACGACCAAGCGGGGCGGGCGCTGCTGGAGCGTACCGGATGGCACGATCGCGCTTGAGCACCCCGACACAACGCGCTCGCCACCTAGCCAGCAGCAGAAGGGCCAGTAGTCACACATTCGTAGGCGCGCGAGCAGAAGAGATGCCCCATGTCTCAGACGTTGGTGTTTTAGAAGGGGGGTGCTCTGGACTTGTGACTCTGCGCCAGATTCAACAACGACTCACACAAGCATGCTTCCTCACAGGCTTCTGGCCCTCATCCTCCTTCTCCCCGTCCCCTGCTCGTACGCAGATGGGAAGGGCCCTGGGAGATCCCCGAGGACTTGATGATGTCCGAAGATGCTCAAAGGGTCTTGGCCCCCGCTCTTGCCTGCAGTGCGGCGCAAGGGGTGTAGAATGGCAGCCAGCCGAGCTCAATGCACGGAAAGGCCTCGAGTGTAATTTAAAGGCCACAGTTTTGTTTGTGCAGCTCGATTTTGCATGTGCATTCTCTCCGACTTGAGGGCAACGTTGATGGTCCTTTGCGCACGGATGCCTCAGAGGCCCCCAGATAACACATCTGATATGCGGAGGTCCTCTCATGGCGGCGTTTAGTATGGGGTCTCCGAGTAATGTCATTTAGTACCCGTGACCAGCCTCACTCCCGAATTAAACCGAGACCTCAGAGCCCGCTGAAACCAATTTGAAAAGCAATCGATTGTTCGACGTTGTTGCCGTCCCGACCTTTCGCTTCTGATGGGCCTCTGGGTATTCAAGCTGGTTCCACTCTCGCAAGATCGCCCAAGATAGCTCAAACAATGACCCTGGCTCCAAGACTGCCTCAAGTGCGCCCACGAGCGCCCCAAGAACGTCCCAAGAGGGCCACAGTAGGCGACGCTTCGGCGCCAGAAGGGACGCTAATGTTCGCCGCCTCCGCTGTCATGAAGAAACTCGTTGGGGACGCTTGTTCCAAGATGCCTTCCAGATGGCCCCAGATGCCCTGAGATGAACTCCAAGATGGCGCCATCTGTTCGAAGTTCGCTCAAGACGGAATCCAGCATGCCTCAGGGAGGCCTCAAGACGGCAAAGTTGGCACCGAGTGGCCGCCTTCTTGCCCTTGCGTGCGCTGCCTTGCAAGGTCGCCAAAGAGTGCACCAAGAGGAACCCATAAACGCTCTAAAGTCCCAGGAGCGCCACGAGAGCGATGTATCGGGCTGCCGCAGGACGACGCTCATCGGCGCCGCCCAACATTGATGGATGACCTCCAAGCTGGCCCCACGAGGGCCCACAAGGCTTCAGAGAGGGACCGGAGAGAGCCCCGAAGGCCCCCAAACTTGCCGAAAGGGCACCCAAAGTCGAAGCCCACAGACCGGAACACCGGCGACGGTCTTCCTGCTTGACTCGTGAGTCTCCCACTCGCCATCGCTCGGGCGTCTATTCCCTCTGTGTGCTTTTCTGTTTGGTGCGTGGCTTTTTCGCCAAATGATCAAGGATGCTCCTCGATGTAGAGGAAAAAGAACTATGCACATGCACCGATTCTGGCCAGGCCCATCCTGAGCCCAGGATCGGTGCATACGCCCTCCTACCTTGGCCAGGAAGGCAAATGCACCGATCCTGGGTCAAAGATGGGCCTTGCCAGGATCGGTGCATGTGCATAGTTCTCTTCGCCCGATCGATGGCCCTCGCCGGAGGAAAAATGCACACGTCCGAGCGATGCCAAGGAGCACGCGAAGCACCAGCAAGGTGCAGCCGCTCGGAGAGAGCCGCTCGGACGCGGGAGAGCCGCAGGAACCCACGGTGCCAACACCGAGGCAGGGCCTGCCACCCGCCACCGCCGCGCAGCGAGCCGCCGCCCGAGCCCGACGAGCCGGCGGGCTCCCGGGTCACACGCGCGCCCGGCCTGCACGAGGAGAGCCTGCTCGGGGGATCTCGGGCCCATCCCAGACCCCCTCGAGTCATGAAAAAATCATGACGGCAGGTTTTTCGCTATTTTCGGCATCTGGGGGCCTTTACCGGCCCTCGGGGCCGTCAAAAAACGACTCAGGAGGAAAAACCGGTCCCGGGGAATGGGTCCAGACCGCTGGGGATCGACGTCATGAAAAAATCATGACGTCGGGGGTCTGGGATGGGCGCGCCCCGCCCACGCACGGCACCAGCACCCGGCGAGGGCAGCCCGGCGCTCTTCGGCGGCACCCGCCCGCGGAGGAGCCGCGAGGCGCGGGGTCTTCGGCGGCACGCAGGGAGCGGCCCTGGGCACTGGAGAGAGAGAGAGAGAGAGAGAGAGGCGAATGGGCCCTAGGACACGCAGATCAATCGACACAAATGACCAGATTTCCCATCTGTTCCCATACTTTCTGGGCTCCTGTCTTCCCCCTCCCCACTTCCCACATTTTCCCATATTTCCTTGGGAGTCGACGATTCATTGTGTCTGTGTGTGTTCTTGTTCCCTCCTGAAGAAAGACCTCCCGTGCGCGGGGCCCAAATCCAAGGCGCGCAGGCAGCCGCCGTCGCATCGCGCCCGGCGGTCGGGGAGACCCCGGTGAGCCCTCGGTTGCTTCGCGTAGGAGCCTCCCTTCGCGCGTTGCCTCTGCTTTAATTTTCTCTCGCGTTTCCTCTGCCTAATTAGTCTCTGCGTAGCCCGCTTTGACCTGACTCGCCGCCGGCGCGCTCGCCCGCGACTGCTGACAAAAAAGTAGGAGCCTCCCATACCATCTCTAGGACTCCCAACTTCGCGCCTCGCGCTCCGCGAAGCGCGAAGCGCGAATCACTCGGCGCTCTCGCGCCGCACCCCCAAAGGGAGAGAAGGAGGACGAGGAGGAGGGGGAGAAGGAACGAGGACCGCGAAGCGCGAATAACTTCGCGCCCTCGTGGGAGCCCTTGCATCGTGTCGGCTCTTGCGAGTCGACGCTAATCGACGCCAAATCGGCGCTAAATCGACGCTAATCGACGCCAACCGACGCTGCTTCGGCACTGTCTCATCGACTCCCGGACGCCAATCGACGCCAGCCGACGCCAGAGACAAAATTGCGAGGGTACACAAGGCTCCCATGATTTGCTACCGAAGCGGTCGGGGGACCCCAGTGATGAGGGGCAACGATCGGGGGGGGGACTGGCATATGGGGGGGATGTATCGACCTGGAATCGGCGATACATCGCCGATAGATCGGCGATAGGCCCCCGATAGTGAATCCGCACGTTCCTGGGCAGGTTGGGGCTATCGGGCCCCGATCGGCGATCAATGGGCGATTGGGGGCCGACGCATCCCCCCCTATGCCTATCCCCCCTTTCGTTGCCCCTGAAGTGAGCCCGCACCTGAGGCCACTCAGGCCACTCCGCCGCACCAACCGAGGTCTGGGCAGGGCAAGGCGGCGGCCCGGCCCCCACTCCTCCGCGCCACTGACCACCGAGGGCGACATCTCCTGGCGGCCGCGGAGCGGCGCTGCGTGAAGCGTGGCGGGCGGCGGAGAGAAAAGCCCAAAAGGAAGGAGGAGGAGGAGTAGAAGGAGAAGGACGAAGAGGAGGAGGAGGAGGACGAGGACGAGGACGAGGAGAAGGAGGAGGAGAAGGAGGAGGAGGAGGACGAGGAGGAGAACGAGGAGGAGAACGAGGAGGAGGAGGAGGAGGAGGAGGAGGAGGAGGAGAAGGACGAGGAGAAGGACGAGGAGGAGGATGGGGACGAGGAGGAGGAAGAGGAGGAGGAGGAGGAGGAGGAGGGTGGTGGGCAGCGGAGAGGGCAGACCCCGGGGCGGCGCCTCCCCTGCGTCACGAGGCTCGCACACTTGAAACTGCGACCACAGCGCGGCGGCCATGGGCAGCCGACTTGCGACGACGGGCCACACGAGCGGCGCAAAGGCCCCGAGGCACGGCGGCGACGGGCCACCACAAGCCGGCCGGACCGGCGCACAGGACCAGGCGGGCGGCAACGACGGCACCGGCGCACCAGGCCCAGCGCCTTACGGTGAACGGTTGCTGACTCGGCGTGTCGACATTTCGGCGGTGGACAAACCTCCCTTTCGCAAACCACCCTTTAATGAAACGGCCTGGGACCGAAACCGACGGACCTGGACCCGCAAAAATAACGGCCGCGACGCCCTCTCGCGAACGGAAAACGGCCAATTCCTTAATCGACGTGTCAGGGTAGGAGGTCTGTCCACCCCCGATTATGGTGAACGGTTGCTGATTCGGCGTGTCGACATTGCGCGGAGGGCGGGGGAGCGGGGGAGGTCTGGCTCCGGACCTCTGCTCAGTGCGACTGTCTGCAACCGTGCGCCCTATGGGGGAGACCCCACCAGCCTGAAGCAGGCGCCAAAAACAGCCAAGATCTACTCCATGGGGGGGGAGGAGGGGTGCGAGAGACCGCGCCGATCGGAAACACAATGAACACGAAAACGACGACATAAGAGACTTAAGGACCCCTACGTTGAAGGGGCCCTGGGACACACAACGAAATAGACTCAAATCCCAGGATCCCCCATAC